TTTAATGGACAATTTTCATAAAAACGAAATCAAACGGATACCAAACTTTCAATATTTTCCAGGTGAAAAATTATACCAATCAAATACAATTAATTACAATTCCCAGGAAAATATTTTCTACGAAAATCTTTTCCTTGTAAAACATTTTTTAGGAAAATCTTTTCCCTGTAAAACATTTTCTTTCCACCCATTTTCCATCCTTGCAATCAAACGCACCCTAATATTTTTTTATCTACAAGTAAGAAAAGAGTGATATATTTAAAAAACAATCATGCGAAATATACACTCTCTTTTACATCCTTCTTTACATCATGTCACGTGGCGACATTTCATTGGACGGTTTTAAAAAAACATGCCTTTCAGCCAACAATTTTTTTTAAAAACAATGGAGTGTCAAAAACAATGTCAAACTTTGAGTTTACATTTAGCATTGTCGTTAAGGAAAGAAGGAAGGAAGGAAAAAAAATCGAGTTTAATTTATTTTTGAACTTAGCAAACTATGATATAAGGGCTCGTCTTCACAGGTAAGTTATACATTAACCCCCCTTGGTGTACAAATTTTTTTTATATAGACAACACACATGGTGGAGTCCGCACAATTTTTTTTTTTTTTCAAAACATGTGGGGCCCGGCCCCTTGTGAGGGACCTATGAGGCCCCTGTGAACAAATCCTCTATACATGAGGATTTATTCGTTAGGGAAATTATAAAAAATCAGGGGTTTAAAGTTTACTTTTTAAAAATCAGGTGCAAAGTTTGTTTAATCACAAATCAGGTAATATATTAAAACATAACCCTAATTCCAAACAAAACCTAAATCATTTCTATTCTATTCCCCCCTTTCATTCTCGTCTCCCTCTCTACCCTCTTCCTCATCGCCTCTACCTCTTTCTTGCCGCCGCCTCCCTCCCTCCCCCACCTCAGCAGATAATCGCTGCTGCTGGCAACCCAGTAGCGATTTCGCTGCTGCTCAGCGATTTCGTTGCCAGTGAAATCGCTACTGGGTTCCCAGCAGCAGAGATTCTGCTGCTGGAAGCAGTGATTTCGCTGCCGGGAAAGAGCTTTTCCGGCAGCGATTTCGCTGCCTTTTAGTTTTTTTTTCTTCTTCTTCTGTGTTCTCTAGTGGTGCAGTGGTGGTGCTGGAAGCAGCGATTTCGCTGTCGGGAAAGTGCTTTTCCGACAGCGATTTCGCTGCCTTTTAATTTTTTTTTCTTCTTCTTCTGTGTTCTCTAGCGGTGCAGTGGTTGTGCTGTGGGTGTGTGTTGTGG